TGGAAGCTAATCATAACAGGAGAGTATTTATGATTTATACTCAAATAGGGAGGGTAAAGCCGTGCTGTAAGCTATGTTGGTAGACTCAATACTGCACATTAATCCAATTATTGGATCGTGTATAGATTGCTGATCCTCCTTGCTGAGGGAGAGGCAACGGTTCATAACCTTTTGCCCAGACTGTACACACTGCTTTAAAATTAGCAATGAACCTGAAATATCAATGAGCACCTGAATGAATATGTTGATTTGTTGACACACTACTGCTCTTTGCACCATGATATTAAATCACGTCACAAGGATTACAAAAGAAAATATGTCTTACCATCACATTTCATAATAAAAAAAAAAAAAAAAGGCAAAAAAACTTTAAATGAACAACAGAAAATATTTTTGCTTTTTTTTTTTTCTCCCCACAGGTGGATCACAAAGACGACGTACCCCACTAAACTGAACAAAACTTGAAATGGCAACAGATTGGTGGAATGTGTGTGATATATAAGTGCAGTGGTTCAAGAATAGAATTATCTTATTGTTAAAAGGATAAAATGTGACAGTATCTATATTTATGCATTGGAATTAAGCTTAAAACCCATAGCAGAAGCGATAAGATTCAATTTCAGATTTTCTTTAAATATGATCAGCAATTTTGTTAGGAAACCCTTAAAGTCACCCCAGGGCTGATTCCCTAAAACATGCTAAAATTACACTAACTAGGTCAAATACATTTCACTTAAATGTTACTACAATAGTCAGGGAGAGATACATTCCAGTAGAGATCACTTAAATTCTTGGATCACTGCACAGAGGAGACCATGACAAACATCACATACATTCTTTATTTTTCTACCTGCACTTGCCAGGGCGTTACCAAAATTGAAGGGTGGCGCTGGAGCAGTGGAAACACTGAAGTTCCCAATATTAAAGTTTAAGGCAGGGTTAGCAGCTAGTCCGAAACCACCAAAGTTAAACCCAGTGGTGTTGGACGTTGCCGACTCAAGCCCTCCAAATCCTGATGTGTGGGAAGCATGAAGAAAAAAAAGGTGGCAGGAAGTAAAAAACAAGTTTAGATAGGATTATAGGAAAGCAGATATCCAGGATGGTTTAATTAAAATAATTATAGAAAAAGCATATATCCAAGTTGGCTTTATTAAAAAAAAGATCACAAACCGACATTTATGGCATGGCAAAATACTGCACTTTACAAATTTATATATCAAATATTGATCAGCAAAGAAGCCTCTCAATTCTCACACTTGCCACATTTATACAGGTGAAAGGTATGTTTATGTTGATGCAACTGACAGTATCTCCATAATTTACATCCCAAGTCTTGGGGTCGGTGTGTACATGCTGAATGGATTTTAAATGCACTTGAAACCTGAGATTAAATAGAGAAGACCCCCTCCTCCACTAAAAAGAAATACTAATCTTTTTAATGACACTTGTCTGAATCTCTAAATAGTCTTATTTTAGCCTCAGAAGCTAGGAAAGCTTCCTGCCATTCTTTAAGATCACTGGGAAAGACTGGGGCCATGTTGTGTGCCGTGATCACACTGGAAGAAGCTTAGAATAACTCTGCAAAGACATCCTTTATGATTGATAGTAAACATTTAGCAGTAGATCCCACTTGAGAGCCCTTTTTGTAAAGAAAGTATCACATATATACAAGTACCTATCCTATAGTGCAGTGGTGGCGAACCTTGGCACTCCAGCTGTTCTGGAACTACAAGTCCCATGAGGCATTGCAAGGCTCTGACAGCCACAACTCCCAGAGGCAGATGCATGTTGGGATTTGTAGTTTTGGCACAGCTGGAGTGCCAAGGTTCACCACCACTGCTATAGTGTGTATGGTGGTCAATAAAATTAGACGTAGATGCATAAACAAGTAATAAAAGGTTAGTGGGCCATGGTATTAGGCTCCAGCACCACACCCCTAGGTAAGTATATACAGCATAGAATAAAATTAAATGGGCTTTCACAGTACTGCAATAAGCCAGTGATCACAAATGATAAAACAAAATATATTTATTAATCCTTGTTACAACACATATTGACATTTGAAATCACTTTGTGCGTAGGATCAAAGAACCGCTTTTTAAACCACACAGTCTTTCAACAATGGGTGTGTGTGTGTGTGTGTGTGTGTGTGTGTGTGTGTGTTAACACTTAACAGGTTTTGCTAGGACGGAGGGGAGACCTTGACAAATAGCATTTCAGTGGATGTTCTAGCTGTGCTTGCCCTTGGCTCTGTCTTCTCCAGCGGTCTCCATAAGCATTATGCTTATTTGTTTTTATGCTGGATAATAATAATA